TTTACCCACTGAGCCATCCTGTTGGCCTTCAGTCAATTTCTTTAGGAAAAAAACTCCACTGTCTTGGGGAGGGCGAGAGTCACCTGGATGCTCACAGGTGGGATGGGCCCCAAGGCCCAGGGCTGATAGCTTCTTTCTGCCAACTTCCATCCCTTCTACCAGGGTGCCCTGGCGCCTATTCTTTCTGGATGTGTCTCCTGCCACCCCCTCTCCAGCCTTGCTAGGGGCCCAGGTTTGCTCTTCCTGCTCGGCCCGCCTCTGCTTCTCCTCCAGCTGTTTTCCATTTTCTGAGTCAATTCTCAGAAAGTTTCTTGAATCATTTAAAACTTTTTTTAAAAAATTACATTTATTTTGGTATATGTGTGGAAGTCAGAGGACAACTTGGAGTCATTTCTCCCTGCCAAATGTGGGTCCTGGGGATCAAACTCAGGTCATTGGGCTTGAGCCTTTACCTGCTGAGTCATCTTACCAGCCCTCCACATAATCATTTATTTGATATTTCCTTTACCTTGTTCTCTTTCTGAAATGAATGGAGTTGTGGCCCATTCCTGTTCAGTTCTCATGTGTTCTATCCCTGGTCCAACTCTAGTGGCGTGACCCGATGAAGAGGTGTGGGCTGATGGGAGATGAGTTTCAGAGTCAGGTGAGCAGGGTGTGCTACAGACAGGAAGGGCCATGTGAGGAGCTGTGGCAGGGGCTTGAGGTTTCCGTCTTCCTAGTGGACAGACTATAGGACCCCTGGCAAGAGGAGACCTGGCCTTCCCTTGGTGTCTCTGGGACTACATACTCACATTGCTAGCAGTGAGCTGGCATGTGGGGCAGTGGCTCAGAGGAGTGTTGGGCTGCAGTCCTGGAGGAGCATGTAGTTACAGCAGTCCAGGGTAGGACTCTGGGAAACCCTAGAATTTAGGGAGGAGATGGAGAGGTCAGGAACTGGTAAAGGAGAAAGATAGAAAGAGGGACGTTTAGGAGAATCCTGAGAGGACAGAACCTTCTGGTGAACGAACAGGGTGAAGGAAAAAGATAGGAGAGCCACGACAGGGTTGGGGTCAAAGAGATGTCCAGAGGTTTCCAGAGGAGCTTAGCCACATGCAGCAACCTGTGAGCTCCGAGACCATGCAGGCAGAGAGGGCAGGAGCATACTGGCTGGGTGGGGGGATGGAGACACCAGTGGCCACTTCTCTTGAGATGGGGTGTGGGTTGACAGTTCACCATGGGCGAGTAGAGACAAACTTTTCTAGTGGAAAAGTATCAGCATGTTCCCCACATGAGGGAGAAGAAATAACACAGTGCCCTCCGAGTGCTAGACAACTGGGGTTTGCTACTCTGAGCGGATGGGGTTTGGGGGCTGAGAGTGAAGTGAATTCACTTCTCCTGAACCCACTCTGGATGGGAACACGGTTTGAGGGCTGACTTCCCATACAGTATTGCTGTAAACCAGGCACTGCAAGGCCTGAAGGAAAGGCCCAGGGTGTCTGGAAGGAGCTCACCTGGGAGTAGTTGCTCCTATTGTCCTCAAACTGAGGGACCTGGCAGGGTCTTTATCCACCATCTTCTGGGGATTATCAGAGACTAGGCACATTTATTTTCCTTAAAGAGGGAAGGACTGTATGTAGGCTGTGACTGGGCACATCTGTTAGTACCCTCCTAGACCCCAAACTGACCCTAGAAAGGAAGCTATTCTGTTCCTATCCTGACAGAAGCTAGAACAGGGTTAACAAAACCCTGGAAAAAAAATCTACCAGAATAGCTCCAGTGAGCGCTTCTTCTTTCTTATTCAGTGTTCTCAGCCTGGACAGCAGGCCTTCCCGTGACCAGCTTGCGGTCGACAGTCTCAGGGTTTCCCTTTTCGGTCACGCTTCCTATCCTACCTCAGATAAGTCCTGCTGTCCAGCCATATTACCCTGCACCCACTCTGTCAGCTCAGGGATCCAGCCTATTCTCAGAGACTGGGGAGGGCTGCTGTTGAGAGAGGGTCAGCTGAGAGCCAGGGTATAGACACCTGCAGCCCAGTACCTGCTTCTTTTCACCCAGCCCCTGGACATCTACCCTGCCGTGGAGCCTCAAACTGCTTGATGCATGTATCATTTCAGAACTATTCAAGATAGCTTGAATTCCTCTGTGATGCATGTGTGCGTGTGTGCATACGTGCATGAATGAACAGTTCATGTGCATATGTACATGGATATGTCTTGGGGAGAGGAGGCCTTCAGATCTTTGTATGAAGTTTTCTCATCTGACAGTCTGAAATTCTACTGTTATGAAGTAGTTTTAAAACAGGAAGTGGTTTTCCAAAAATGTTCCCTCCTGACAGAATGGGGGGTGATGGGAGAGAGACTCATGGCTCTGTGGGGCTGATGGGTCTTTGAGAGACACGAAGTCCCAAACTGTTGCTCCCCTGGGCCTCCTGATGGTCCCCAGACCTAGCCTAGGAATAGTCATATTTATCTTAAGAGGCTGCTGTGTCTTTGAGTTTGACGTTAATTGATTGTTCCTCTAGTCAAGAAAGAACAGACATGGAGCTCTGAGTGCCGACCCCCACCCAGGCAGTTGCCCCACAAGATCAGCAAGGCTTGCAGCCAGGCTCGGCCTTATGAGGTCTTTTGCCTTTTAAAAAGTCTCTGGAACCAAACCAGTTCGTTTTTCTGTTTTCAGGCACCACCCCTTTACTGAAACCTTATGGTGGCTTCCATAAGACGGGAAGGTTTTCACAGCCTGGGGTTCCCTAAGCCAAGCTCTGTGGCATCCACAGGGGCTGGGGGGGGGCTCTGTGAGAAAAGTGTTTTTTAGGGCCTCCTGACCTCCCTCATCTCCACAAGCCACAGCTTAGAGACACTGCTCTATTGCTTTACTCTGTGGGGTCAGGTGGTGCCTGAGACCTGAGGTTCAGAAGCTAGCTGTCTCTGCTGCAGGTGGAACAGGTGCACAGGAAGTCTCCTTCCTCTTCAAGAAAGGGGAGGGTCCGGGGAAGTTCTGGTGGAGAGCCCACTATGAAGCTGGCCCTTTTAAAGACAGGGTGCGTACTGTGAAGCCTGCTCCTTCCATCGGGGACTGTCACAGCTCTGCCACGGCTCTTAGTATGCAGATGAGAGATGAACAAGCATCCTTCCCCTTCCCCCCTCCATCTCCAAGACTCCCCAGGCTGGTGGGGGTACCTAGTGCTTTGCAGGAGGGGCTGCGCTGGGGACTTCTGGGTACACAGTGAGTGAGCTTTGTATTACTTATACAAGGAAGGACATCCTCCTCTGGAGGCTAACAAGCCATCCAACCCAGAGAGCTCAGTGTGCCTTGCAAGCTGGGTCCCAAGTGAGATCAAAATTTGGAATCAAACAGTCCTGATGTCACCCATCCTAACCTTAGCCTTCACCAGAAAACGAGCATTAACAGGGAGAATGGCCAGGAGGCAGTGTGTATCTGTAGCATAGCATGTGCTAGTGAGCATGTATGCATGCATGTGTGCACCTGTGTATATGTGTGCATATGTGTGTATGTCTGCGTGTGTGTGTGTGTGTGTGTGTGTGTGTGTGTGTGTGTGTGTGTGTTTGGTTTAACTGGACTTTGTTTATCCTAGTGGAACTTAACGTTTGCCACTTTTCTGTGGTGCTGACTTTATTTGTGGTGCTGTAGGGTCATCACCACTCACTGGTTCCAGAACCCTTTCAACACCCCAAAGAAAATTCCCATACCCATCAATGCTTTGTTACCAGTGGTCAGAGTCTGGGACAGGTATTCCAGGATCTTGGCCTCTTACTCAAGAAACTGAAATAGAGGTGCTCATAGACTGTAAGGTAGCAACGAAACTTTACTTGAAAGAGAGGCCATAGTACAGATCAGTAAGTAATACACTATGAAGAGTGAAGGGGGAGCACGTGAGTGAGCATGTACTCAGGATCCCAGGCCATTGCCTGGGACTACTGTTAAAAAGGGTCCAGAAGGAGGGGGTGGTTACTAAGTGTATATAATGAGCAGTTCTCTATTTTGATTGACACATCTAAGTTATATAACCCTGACTACACATGTCCCCTTCTGTATTGTGTCTGATTTTAATCATGTGCACACTTGTGCATAGGCATAAGATGATAAATAGAGGATCCTCCCTAAAAGTTCACTTAGAGGACACAGTTTGCCTTATTGTACATGCAACCCAAACTAGTTCAGGCTAGGTTGCCCCCCTCACACCCCCACCCCTGTCCATCCCTTTGTTCCCAGATATGACTGTAGTATGACTGGATGGAAACTCCATATTTTGATCTTTAAGGAGGGGAGAGAAACTTATTCCATTGTTTGGAGTGGGGTGTTTGTGGAGCTCAGTGCAAGACGGGGTCCTAAGCTGCTAACAGGTTGCTAGGTACATTGTTAGAAGGGGTGTGTGCTTAGTACGTGTGAATGAGGCACCCAGGCTGCCAAGTGTGGAGGAAGACAGGTGTGTGCACAGCCCAAACCAAGTAGAGTCTCAGGTTGCTAAACTATTCCCTATGCCTGTCTGCCCCCACTTTCATTCCTGTTTCGTCCTTCCACAAGCCCCTGGCTACCACTGATCTCTGTCTGGATTTGCACCTTCTGGATATTTCCCACAAATGGGGTCCTACAGTATGTGTCTGGTTTCTTTCATTTAGCTTAACATTTCCAAGGTTCATTCAGGTTAGAGTGTTGACCAGTGAGTGTTTCATCCCCCTTAGGACTGAATAATGTTTCCATGAGCCCTGAATTTGAGAGTTCACAGGATGGTCCTGAGTCAGACTTGAATACTTACTCAGGGCCAGGATTTGTTCTCATTGTTTCTGAATGACCAGTGTAGCGCTTTTCATGCAGGAGACCTGGCCAGAGATGCACGAGTGGGTGTAGGGTAGGCCAGGCTATCACGCGCCCTTGAAGGGAGCTTGACTCTGGAGGCAGCGAAAGCTCCCAGCTGCAGTTCTTCTGGGGCTGGCTGGAGGGTGGAGCTGGCTTCAGGCCAGGAAGGGCTGTGCTGGCTGATAACGGACCTCTGCCTTCTCCAGATGCAGGAAAAGGCCAAGGAGATCTACATGACCTTCCTGTCCAATAAGGCCTCCTCACAAGTCAACGTGGAGGGGCAGTCTCGGCTCAATGAGACGATCTTGGAAGAGCCGCACCCTCTGATGTTTCAGAAACTTCAGGACCAGGTAACTTGACTTCCTTGTCTGCGCCTTGGTCTGAAAAGCTGCAGTCATTCAGACCTGGGAGAATTCTTCAGCAAAACACCAAATTTCCCAGAAAATATCTCACCTAGCTAAGTAGCACCAAGCTTACTGAGAGGCTCCGGTTGAAAGTTGGGGAGCCCCAAGTTCTAGATTTGACTCTTGTTCCCCACACTATTTGAACCACCAGGCTTCACAGGCTTTTCCACCTGGATGGGATTGGAGACTGGAGCTGTCTGAGGGACTCAGGTTAAGAAGCACCATGTGCTCGCTCATTTGGGAGGCAGAAGCAAGTGGATCTCTGTGAGATTGAGGCTAGCCTGATCTATATAGTGAGTTCCAGGCCAGTTGGGACTGCAGGGAGACCCTGTCTCAAAAAGTCCCTCTCTCTGGGGAGACAGATGGAAAAGGATGGAAATAGCACTCTGAGCGGCAGGGAACCTGAGGCTGTGTATGCAAATATCCAAACACCACCCCCAACTGCTGGTGGCCTAGAGCCATGAGTGAGTTTATAATGTGGCCTCTCAGCCAGAATGAAAAAGTGAACATTTTGCAGTGTATTACACTTAGAACAGGAAAAGGCATGTTTAGAAATGAACCTTTAAAGAGAACCTTAAGTTTTTCTGGCAAAATTTCTTATGAGGAACACACAATAAATGTCAATAGACACAACAGGGGTGAGACTTCATAGCTCCATTTATGAACATGTATTCATATTAACACTCTGCTGTGAAATGTTAGGTCCACTCTGTGGACAAGGCCACACACTGCTGGAAAAGTAGGCTGAGGGACCCACATTGAAGTAGTAACATGGGACAGTTATTGAAGTTAGAGATAGAATTGGAAAACAGTCACAGGGACTCAGAGGCAGGGAACCTGGGGCTTTTTTTCGTGCAAATATCCAAGTACCTCCCTGTGTTCTGGTAAGGAGGCAGTCTTACTTGGCCACTCACATAGGGACCAGCATCTAGCACAAGTCAGAAGCCTTCTAGCTCAAATAAACCTAAGTCACACACAGCATGTGGCAATACTGATCGTGGGTCCCACTTCCAGGGGTAACCATTCAGTCCTGCAGGTCCCAGGTGCTCTGAGACCACCTCTCTGCTGAAATTTTCGGTCTGGGACTACACTGTGTGTTGCTTGTGCTTTTTTGATCATTTGGTGTAGACACTGAGCCCAGGGGATGTCCCAGCATCTAAGAGGCTTCATCTTTGATCATTTCTGATAGAAAACAAATGCCCAGGCAGAAAACTCAAATTAGAAAAGTTTCCAACTGACACAGTGGCAAGTGTAGATTCTGCATGAATTCTGAACCAGACTTGAAGGAACCCTGGATTGCTGACTCCTCACCTCATGGAAGGTCTCCTGCACAGGTGGCTTTGAGCCAGTGGAATGAATACTGTGGACATAGATTTTTGGTGGAAAAGGAGGTGGCATGTGAGATGAAAAGGCAATTAAAAATGGCATTTATTAGGCTGGGTGTGGTAGTACACGCCTTTGATCCCAGCACTTGGGGGGCAGAGGCAGGCAGATCTCTGTGAGTTCAAGACCAGTGTGGTCTACATAGTAAGTTCCAGGCCAGGTGGGGCTACAGGGAGACCTTGTCTCAAAAAGACCAAAAAAAAAAACCACAACATTTATTTATGGGGGGGTATGTGCATACCGCATACCACAATGCATGTGTGGAGGTCAGAGGACAACTTGCAGGAGTCAGTTCCCTTTTTCTACCGTGTGGGTCCCAGAGATCAAACTCAAGTCATCAGGTTTAGTGGGAAACACCTTTACCTGCTGAACCATCTTGCTGGCCTTTTTTTTTTTTTTTGAGAGAGAGAAAGAGAGACAGACTCATGTAGCCCAGGCTAGCTTTGAACTCTCTTTGTAGCTGAGGATGACCTTGAATTCCTGATCTTCCTGTCTCGGCCTCCCAAGTGCTAGGATTATAGGTGTGTGCCACTACACCTGGCTTAGTTACAGAAAAAAATCTTGAAGTACCTTTTACCTACCTAATTATAAAAGACATTGAGAAACCAAAATATGTTGAAGGTAAAAGTCCCCTCATTTCAAAACGTGCAGAGCCACTAAGTAACACTTGATCTCTCCACTCCCATCTTTTATGTTCTATAAATATACATGAGACACATACATGTTACCAATGTGGTTCAGAGTTTGACTGCAGAGGAAGTACTTTAATATCCTGTTGTGAAAGTTTACCTGAGAGAGAGAGAGAGAGAGAGAGAGAGAACAGAAGAAGACCCACTGTCCTCCCAAGGCATGGGAAGTAGCTGAGAAGAAGCCCGGGGTCCCCAGGAACTTGTTCCAGGACCCCCTCAGCTACTGAGTCCTAGTACTCAATTCCCACCAGCCAAATGGCACAGAGTGCTCCTTAGAGTAGCGTGTAACCTACACACACCCTCCCATACATGATTTAAATCCTCTCTAGGTGACTTAGAACACTTGATTTGATGTAATACTGTTCACAGTTGTTACCCTATACTCAGGGAATCCTGACCAGAAAGAGAGGCCTGTAGGTGCTCAGTGCACACTCAATTTTTATTTTCCCGTGGATACACAGCACTGCCTGTATTGCTGTGTGCGCTGGTTTCCCAGGGAGGCCTGTGAAGGCCCCCAGATTCTGCTTCACTTCGGAAACCTCTGCCTGTCAGGGGCCTGCTCACGATGGGACTCAGTGTCATGTCACCTGCAGTTCTTTGTTCACACAAGACTCCTTTGAAGACACTGCTCTCAAAAGTGAGGGAGGTTAAAGTAGAGGGGTCTGTGATAGCGATCCCGAGTTTCTTAAAGGTTTCGTTTATTCATTTATTTTATTTTTGGTGTGTATGTGCAAGTGTGTGTGCAGGTGTGCATGCCCATGTGTGCATCCATATGCACAAACCAGAGGTTAATGTGTCTTCCTTAATCCCCCCACCTTATTTTTTTGAGATGGGATCTCTCTCTGGTGTAGAGCTCATGAACTCAGCTGTACTGGCTGACCAGTGAGCTCCGGGGCTCCTCCTGTCTTTACCTCCCAAGTGCTGGAATTACAGGCACATGCCACCAGTCCTAACTTTAAAAAAAAAAAAAAAATTGTATCAGCCGGGCATGGTGGCACATGCCTGTAATCCCAGCATTTTGGAGGCAGAGGCAGGCTGATCTTTGTGAGATCGAGGCCAGCCTGGTCTATATAGTGAGTTCTAGGACAGCTGGGGCTACAGGGAGACCCTGTCTCAAAAAGACCAAAAAAAATTTATTTATTTATTATTTCATGTGTATGTGTGTATTGCCTGCATGTAGTAAGTGCACCCGTGTTATGCAATGCCTGCAGAGGACAGAAGAGACTGTCAGATCCCCTGGAACTGTGAGATCGAGGCCAGCCTGGTCTATATAGTGAGTTCTAGGACAGCTGGGGCTACAGGGAGACCCTGTCTCAAAAAGACCAAAAAAAATTTATTTATTTATTATTTCATGTGTATGTGTGTATTGCCTGCATGTAGTAAGTGCACCCGTGTTATGCAATGCCTGCAGAGGACAGAAGAGACTGTCAGATCCCCTGGAACTGGAGTTATATTGCATGTAGTAAGTGCACCCGTGTTATGTGATGCCTGCAGAGGACAGAAGAGACTGTCAGATCCCCTGGAACTGGAGTTATGGACAGTTGTTAGCTGCCATGTGGGTGCTGGGATTTGAACCCGGGTCTTCTGCAAGAGCAACCAGTGTTCTTAACCGCTGCCCTATCTCTTCAGCGTCCACCATTCCTAACTTTTATGTGGATGTTTGGGATCAGAACTCAGATCCTCATGCTTCTGCGGCAAGCGCTTTACGTCTGAGCCTCCTCCAGAGCCCCGAACCCAAGATTTCACGTGGCTAAGCAGCCTCATTCGCAGCTTCAGCCTCACTGAACACCGAGTGGCTTGAGGTGGGGTTTTCTGAGCACGCCGTCATCTCTGCCTTCCAGCCCTTGCTACCATGAAAGCTCTAAGCCGTCGAGCCACTTGTCATGATGTAGCCTTGTTCTGCTGTTCTGGGAGCAACTGGCAGGGCAGTGGCCTTTGTGGGACACACACAGCCGGAGGCTAAGGCACAGAAGTCCTTCCTAAGCCCAGAGTAGAAGGCCCAACGTCCCTGCATCCTAGTTAAAAGAGCGTCTTGTTTGTCACTCAGGTTCTGCTAACTCTGTTTACACAAAGTTCTGACAGGTTCTGCTTTTTCAGTTCAGAGCATATGTGAAGCACTGGTAGAGACTGGAGGACTGGTTGGCAAATTGCAGTGCCCGGCAGCCAGGGAGGAGACAGAAAACGATACTAAATGTTAACCACAGCATGTGATCTGGGGCCAGAACACATGGGGCCCAGGTTCCCACACACCACAGCGTGGGCTTCCCTGTGCAAGAGAATGGTGACTTGGGTGAGCTAAAGACCTGCACAAACCATCAAGCAAAGGCTAACTGTGGTCAGTGTATTATGTGAAGCATTTCATCAAAATCAACATCGTAAGTGAAATTCAGGCCTTAAAACTGTTACCTGGAAAATTCTCCCCTGGAATAAGGGCTTAATTCACATGCTTGTTCCCTGTTCTGTGTGCCCAGCACTGGCAAATCAGGAGGTGGAAGTGGCACTGGGCATCTCTTTGGTACCCTGGGCTGGAGTCGGAAGCTCCTCTGGACAGGAAGCAGGAAGGAAGGTGCCTGCCTTCCAGTCATTTGGTTTCTTCAATGATTTGCAGCTCCACACAGTGTCTTTTTTTCCTTTTAAAAACCCACACCTGGGAGATCTGCCTCAGTTCCGGTTTCCTGCCACATGTGCTCATTCTTCAATTCATCCTTTTCTGCTGCCAATATTAATTGAGGTCCTAGGTCATCTGCATTCCCGAGACAACGCTGATGGCTGTGTGTGCAGCAAGAAAATCAGCTCCTGTCCATCCACCGGGGCAAACACAAATTCTAAGAAGGAAGCACGGCAGCTGAAGGGTAGCATCTCCTGGTACCTGGA